CATAGTGGTCATTCTACCCTATAAGTACCATGCACACAGTAGGCACTGAACCCTAAATTCATTCTGCACACAGTAGGAACTATACTCTCTATGCACTATGCACACAGTAGGTACTGTGCTCTCCATTGCGCTGTGCACGCAGGAGGCACTGTACAATAGTACATGTACTGTGCTTGCCGCCTCTGAAGGCTAATTTACTCACAGAAACAAATTTTGAAAACCTACTGTATGCTGGCACCTTAGAACATCATAGCCACCTCACTAGGGAGGCATGGTTAACTCTGCTTTACAGATGAAAATACTGAGCCTCTGAGACACCAAGAGGTCTGTTCAGGATTCTGGAGATAGGAAGACACACAGGCAGGATTCTAACTCCCAGCTCTCTGCCCCCAAAAGCCAAAACTTAGCAGCTGGGGTTGTGCCCAAGAGTCGATCGTAGCCAGGTGCCTGGGTTTGGATGTCCACACATGTCACTGTGGCCCCCAGACTGCATGCATAGCTCCTGGATCTCTGCTGAGGGCCAGCTTGGGTGTAGGGAGGTGGTGTGTGCCTCTCTGGTTTAAAGAGATCACTGTGTCCCAGAGAAGCCCAGACTGTGAGTTCATCTGTCAGTTAGCCCTCATTAACATCAAATATTAAAAGCCACAGCTGGATAACTGGCTAAGCCCATGCTCCCCAAATGCCCTTCTTGGCTGGAGATAGGTGGTCTGGGCAAAGCCCTGCTTATCAGACTAGCTTTATCTGTCCCGTGAGAAGCTGGCCAATCACAGCCAAGGGCTTGGCTTGGTCTAGTCAATACAAGGAGACAACCAGGCGGCCGCATGCCAGGAGGCCCAGTGATATTTCATTAAGTCAGACCCTGGTGCTAGAAATAAAACCCCCAATTAAACACTTCGCCTCCCGGAAGCTGCCACAGGCGTCTGTAATCAAGCTAACAGCCGCCCTTCCACGTGGATGGCGGGCACTCAATGCTGTGGAGAGCTGCTCACGAACCTATTAGCTCCTGTACCCTGGCAACAGAGGTGGCCTGCAAGGGCTGTGAGGTGTGGGAGGTGGACCCATTTCACAGATGGAGATCCTGAGGCTCAGTGAGGCTGGCACCCCTCCTGTATGTCACAGGATGGGGCTGGGTAGCCATGAAGGGGCCAGCTTGGGGTCGAGGAACAGAGAGGCCTGGAGGATCAAGACTTAGGAAAAGGCCAGGTTCTGAAGTCCAGACCCAAGTGTAAATCTTGGTTCCACTCTTAATCAGCTGTGGCACTTTGTGGGTGTTACACCAACCTCTCTGGCTGTCAGCTTACCTCATCTATAAAATGGGAACTATTCCCAGAAGAATGGGCAGGAACTGCCTGGTGTGTGGTAGACCTTTGACACACAGTCACAAGGAGGCCTTACTACCTCCCTCAGTTTTACAAGGCCAGAACTCCTGTGAGGTCTAACTTGGGCCTCAGTCTCCCTTTGGTAACCCTGGCCCACTCTAAAAGCTCCCAGGCTGGACATTACCCAGGGGAGCTGGCCTATCAGAGTTTCTGAGACTCGTGAGTAATAGGCCACTTAGCATTTTATGACCCTCATATAATTAGAGTTAAGCTAACAAACAGGTAGGAACCTGGAGAGGGTGGCTAATGAGGCCGGGCTGGAAGGAGTGGGTCCCTGCTGGAGGCTAAATGGAGTTGCCATAGGGCCTGAGGCAGCCAACAGGCTAGAAGGCCGCAGAGACCCCATCTTCCTGTCTCGTGTGAACCAGCCTCTTCTTCCCAACATCCTCCTCTTCCCATTCACCTATTTCCTCTCTTTCTACCCCGTCTAGGGTCCCAAACACACAACGACAAGGGTCAGACTGCAAGGCCTGGAATGGTTTTCTTAGGACCCTGTGCACCTCTGAGACCCGAGGTCTAGACCCCATGTTCAAAGTGTTCCCTGAGCATTCTCCCTCTTCCTCCCTCTGCCTATGACTGTCCTCCTTGCCTGGTCCCAGTGTCACCTGTCCTGATGGCACATCCCAGGGGGGAAAAAAAAAGATGTCTCTGACTTCCCCCCACCTGTCTCTTCTTGGGCCCTAAAGTTGACCTTTTCAGCTCCATATAGCTCCCTGGCATAAGTGTGTCCCTAGCTCCTGACAGGGACTTAGCTCAGCTATGGTCATTGGATTGAATGTAGTTCTTTCTGAGGTCGCTCGCTCCTCTGACTTGCTCTCAACCCAAGAAGGCTTTAGTCCTGCATCACGCAATTCTAGCCTGCCGTTTCTGGGGTTTGGTCAACAGGCGACACCGGTAGAGACACAAGGATGATGGAGAAAGAATCTGCCCGTAGCTCTCTCGTCCCTACCCTGCTGGAATCTGGAGTTCCGGCCACGGCTTTGCTCCTCTGTGGGCATCCTGATGGTGGCCTCTTTATCCTAACTCCAGCAACTTGAGGACCTCTAGCCCCAAGCTTATTCCTTTCTTCTCAGGCCTTTGGGGGTGCCGAGATCCATTAAAATCCTTTCCTATTCCCCACTGGGCATGTTTTCTAGAGAATCCGCCAGAGATGAGGCCTCCCTGTCGTCTCCTTGTCCCTAGTTCATTCCGTGAGGCATTTCTACTAGCTGCTCCCTGAGGCAGGCTAAGACCGCTCCAGAGATGTCCTCCCTCGCTCATTCCTCACAGCCCTGGGCGGGACCAGGGATCCCCTCTGGTACCCTGACAGATAGCGTTGTGCGAATCCACCGGGTGTCTCTGGGGGTCTCCAACTCAAGAGAGGGGAGGCAAAGCTGGTGATCTTGGTGTCAAAAAAACGGGTGGGAAGGAGTAAATTAGCCCGGTGAGAAGGGAGGGGAAGTGGCTGGCGGGGGGGCCTGTGCGGAGGCCGTTATCTTCATGGAGAAAGCAATAAAACCGTGTTCGCTCATAAACGGGCACCACCAGGACCTATTTCCTGCTCAAATAAAATTAAAGGTGACTGATGGAGTTGCAAGCGCAGGCAGAGCTGGGGGTGCTTAGTGCTGAGTGATAGGCCCTGTCCTGCGCCTGGCTCCCTGGGGTCTAGAGGCTCAGCCAGGATGCCCAAGCACAGGTTCCAAATCTTGGAGGCAGGGACCGTGTATGCTATGTAGGAACATGCCAACCATGTAGGACGAGTGGGGAAAAAAATGAATGAAGACGTCCCCCCCTGTCCCCAGGATCTCTAATTCTCTCTGGTCCACATCACTTGGGTCTGCTCCCGCTCCCGAGTGATCCTACGAACCGAAACACAGAGAGGTCTAGGAACCGCTCCTGACCACACAGCCTCTTGCGTCATCAACAAGCAGAGCCTTACTAATGTGTCCAGCCAATGGAGGTCATTCAGACCACTCACCTATCTCCAGACCCAAGGCCCAAATGTGCAGGCTCTATCCAGCTCCCCGGGAAGCCTGGCTCAGCAATTAAACAACGAAATGCAGATCCTCCTTCCTGGTTCTCAACCTTCTGGACTGATGCCCAGGTCTGCCAAATCAAGCTAGCTGTGTGTCTTGGAAAAGCCACGGTGTATCGCTGTCCTTTAGCTTCCTCGTGAAGAAGGAAAATGGGAGGAATCGTCTCAGAGAGCTGTGGGCAGGATCTAATGAGTGTCTCGCCTGTGGGGTGCTAAGGCCTTCTGAGGAAAGGGTCACAGAACCACTGGGGGCCTGCCTCTTTTAGACTCTGGTTTGTCCCAAGGAGCACAGCAGAGATGGGTGGAACCTCACTAGAAGATGCTCCTGGGTCTCATAAGACCATACTTCATGCTGAAGTTCATGTCCAGCTCACCAAGACACCTCCTCCAAGAAGACCTCTGACTTTTTCCAAGCCTGACCTCATTCCTATGCTTGTTGGCAGCCTGGTTTCTGTTGAGGGTAATGGCTAAGAAAAGTACCCAGGGTTCCACCATCACCAGCTCATTTGGAGCAAGAGACTTAACTCTCTCGAGGCTCCGGTTTCCTTGAACGGAAAAGCCCGTCCTCAAGGCAGCTGTTAGGACAGGTCTGGACACGTATTCAGTAAGTATTAACCATCATTGTCCTATCAAGTATCTTCTCTCGGCTGGGCAGATGCCTAGGTCCATAAAATGCTTGCTGTGGATGCTTGAGGACCTCAGGTTAGCCCCTCAGGATCCATGGAGGAAGTAGGGTACGATAGCATGTGCCTGTGATCTCAGTGCTGGGGACACAGATTGGTGGGTCCCTGAGGTTCACTAATAAGGCAGTCAAAGATGGACAGTCTGTGAAGACAGCCCAAAATTGCCCCTATGGTCTCTACATGGTGGACCATACTTGTAGACCCACACCTGTAATAAACATGTAAACATGTACCTGCACACGTATGAACACACAGATGTGCACGTGTGTACACACACACAGACACACACATACAAAGTGTCTTTTCTCCCCTCATGGATACTAGGGCCCCTTACAACAAGAATGCTTGATCCCGTTGTGCCCCGTGGAGCCTCAGCATGGGGATTGCAATAGAGCAATAGACATGGAAGTTACCCCTGCACTCATGGGCACCCTGGCCCTCTGGAGGGCCCTGGAGGGAGGGACTCTCCCACCCACCCAGTCCTACCTTTCCCTGTGTAGAGTCTCCCCTCAGGTATAATTATGCTGGTCAAGGTCTGAGGGGCCAGCCTACCCTGCTCTTGAGCACTGGTCCCTGTAAACCTTTAAAGGTGTCAGGAAGTGCCAAGGCAGCACCTCCAGGTAGTGCATGCATGCACGCACGCGCACACACACACACACCAGACACATACACACACACCAGACACATACACACACACCAGACACATACACACACACACCAGACACATATACACACACCAGACACATACACACACACCAGAGACATACACACATACACCAGACACATACACACACACACACACCAGACACATACACACATACACCAGACACATACACACACACACACACACCAAACACATACACACACACACCAGACACATACACACATACACACACACACACCAAACACATACACACATATGCACATATACCAGACACACACACACATACCATGCACACACATATACCAGATACACAACACACATGCACATGTACCAGACACACACATACACCAGACTTTCTCTCTCTCTCTCTCTCTCTCACACACACACACACACCACCACCACCACCACCACACGTGTACACACATGTACATATACCAGACACATACACACACACCACACACACACACACACACACACCCCACATGTACATATACCAGACACACACACACACCAGAAATGCACACAGGCCAGAAAATGACACCCCATAGGTACCTCCCTGCCCCCCCACCCCCATGATCTGTTCCTCCCTCCTGGCTCCTTTGCTGACCAGCAGGTCAGAAGGGTCTAATTGCTGTCTTAAGTCACATCCACCCTGCCTGCACAAACATCAGACTCAGGACACCTCAGACAGTTCCGACTCCTGTCAATGCTGACGATCCAACCACCACCCAAAGCAGGTGATCTACCCTCCAGGAGGCCTGAGGTGTGGTAACTGGGTTCCAAAGGAAGGGAGGTCATGTCCTATCCTGCCCCAGAATTCTGGGATCAGGCAGGGGACCACTCACCACTGTTGGCCCAGGGCAGGTACCAGGGGCAGCTGACATTCACAAAGGAACCTGGGGGCCCATCTGGCCAGCAGGCATAGTCATCAAAGGTCCGGTTGCAGAAGAGGCCTGTAGAAACAGTAGAGCCATCTCTGAGTCCCGGGCTGGCATTTATCCTTCCCAACCTCCCCAACCACCGGAAGCTGTACTCCTCCAACCTCTGTTAAGTGCTCACTGGACGCTGAGCACTCTCCATAGGGCAGGATTCTGTTACTCATTGGGGCAGGACCTTAAACGATTTCCTTAACAACTTTATGTCCTCCTCTGTGGAATAACAGTATCCCCTGGTCCACACAACTTTGTTATAACATATGTTACATAGAAGAAGGAATATAGTAAAGACTCAACAGCTCCTATAAGGCATTTTTTTGAGCCGTTCTTCACAGATGGGAGTGGAATGTTGGCTCGTGAGGCTGAGGAGATCTTCTTCAGGTCACTGTTACGATAAGAGACAGGATTTGAACCCAAGCCCAACTGGCCCCAATGCTATGTTCTTTAAACCACTTTATATACGCCCCCAAAGATTTATTCCCGTTGGCTTGGTTGGTAGAATGCTTGTCTAGCATGCATAAGACCCTGAGTCCAGCCTTCAGCACTGTATAAGGTAGGTATGGTGGTACACAGAACATAATACCAACACATGGGAGGTAGAGGGATCGGAAGTTCAAAATCATTCATGGCTACATAGTGAATTAGAAACTAGCCTGGGCTATGTGAGATCATGTCTCAAAAAAACAAAAAAATAAAGATCAATTATAAATGTGTCAGTCTAGACACGGCTAAGGAGGGGCTGGGGAAAACACAGAACAGAAAGTGAGAGGCCTGCTGTGGGGGTAGAGACAGCAATGAAACACCACCCACAAAATTGCCTATGAGAAATAGATGGGAAGGGGGCAGGAAGGACTTCAGCGAAGATGTAGTGTAGTCACCGGGATAGATATTGTTTTGAGAGGTGAACGACACCAGCTGTGGACCTGGGATCGTCAGATCCTCTTCGGAGATGCTCAGGAGTACAGGCGTGAGGCCTCATCTGGACTCACCTGTGGCCAGGAGTGGCGCTTCCGTGAGGAAACGTTGGCACTGGCGCCGGTACTCTCTCCATTTCTGCACTGTCTCTGAGAGGGACACCCTGGCGCCCTACGAGGGAAAGCAGAAATAAATAGAAGGCTTTACCCCTGTGGCTCCAGCAGCCCCTTCTGGTCCCACTTGACTCCTACCCTCTTGGTTTCTTAACCTCCAGTGGACCAAAGCCTACTGGGCACTTCTGAAAAGGGGAGAGAGCCGGTGTCTGACACTTTGGGGATCCGGGCTTTCTGGGGTGTTTATCTTGCACAAGACTGCCATGTAAGGACCCAGAGAGTGTCTAACAGATGAATGCTTAAGGGGGGGGGTGAAGGAGAGCATAGAGGGAGAGTATGTGACTCATTCGTAATCCCAGCTGCCCTTTATCTACCCTCAACAAGGAGAGACTTCCTGAGGGACAGCTGCCTCACAGCCTGGGGCTCCTCCCCTCCGGGTGTCTGGCCATGCAGCCAGTCTGGAGACAGCTCGCCTCCAACCTTTCTAGGAGAGTCAAGAGAAGACCCATCCATCAAAGGCACACGGTATCTTGAGAAGCAGAGCTGCGGCCAGCACATAGTCACCTAGTTCAGTGGCTAACCTGCAGCTTCAGAGGATGCAGGATGTGGTCTCACCGAGGGCTTATAGAAAGAGCCAGAATGATTACCCACTCCTCCTGCTAGACTCGATCGCTGCCCTCGGATAGCCACCCCACAGTGTCTCTTCTGACACAACACAGATCTGAGACGAAGCCTGACTTCTACATCCCAGGAGGATACGGAATAGTAAGGATAGGGTGAAGACAGGAAAGTTCCAGAACTCAGAAGTTGTGCCTCCACTGGGAGGTGGCCTCCTACCCGTGATGGAGGGATAAGAGCCTAAATAAATTTAGCAATATTGGCTTTTGAGTGTGTGGCTGTAATAGATCCACTCCACTGAGCACGGCCCCTCTGCTTATTTCTGAGTGCTCCCTTTAGCTAGCCTTGAGCCGCGGTGCTTTTTAATTTGCTTTACAAACATCCTTAAGGATTATAAATACGACCTGCTTAGAAGTGATAGCTGTCCAAACGGTCAGAGTCCCTTATATTAAACTTGGGATTTAGGCAGAACTTAATGTGCATGAAAATGCGTGTGTGTGCACACAAGAGAAAGCACGTGTCGCCACAGCGCTGGCTGTCTCCTTCCAACCATATAGGGTCCTGAAGATGGAACTCATATCTTTAGACTCAGCAACAAGCACCCAGTGAGCCATCTCTTCAGCCTAGGAGTTCACCTTTTGAAGTCACAAGTGACACACGGGTGCTGAAATGATTTCCAGATGCCAGGGCCCCTGAGTCTTAGCCACCCCGCTTACATACAGCAGATCTGATGTCTGGGTGAGCCTGCCCTGGTTTGAGCAGAGTCCTACTTCATATGACAATCACCACAGAACAACACACAGTGACATGTGTTTGTTCCTGGTGACATGGAATGTTCCGGAAAAGCAGGAAGTTGGGGGTGGGGTGGGGAGGTGGGTCAAGCTTGTTCTGAATGTCTTCAACATCTCTGGAGATGAGCATGCTGGTGTGGCCGTCCTGAAGGACATGTTCTTCCGAGAGCAAAGGTCAGCAGTATTTGCTTGGAGAATAAAGAAAAGGAAACCAGATGTGGCAACAGCAAAGGTGGATTGTGGAGGGAGCCACTGCTGAGGGGTGGCAGACTTGTTGGACTAAGCCAGGGTGGATTGGTACCATGTCTCTCTCTTCCTTCTCTATTGTATCCCTTCCCTTCTTCTCAGTGCCCTGAAGGCAGCAAAGCAGGCAACAGCAGGCAGGGAGGGATGGGGGAGGAATCCCTACAACGTCTGTTCTTAGTAGGACAAATAGCAGAAAGCAAGGTCACTGCTGGGAATTGGGGCAGCAGGTGTCTAGCCAGGGAGTGAGGAGGCCCAAGAACCCAATGGAGAGGAGGGGACAGGGACTGGAGACAGGACCTTAATGGCCAGCTACCGAGAGAGCATCAAAGACACTTTGACTAAGCAGAGTGAAGATAGGAAACTTAACTCCAGCTTGAGGCTCTGTTAGGACAAGACCTTGTCTCCCTCTAAAGCCACAGAGTGCCAAGTTTTCATGGTAGTGCCTCGAGGAGACATGAGAAATCCCATCTCTATGGGTAGAAACTTCTGAGAGTCTTCAGGCTGCATGGAGTCAGGGCTGAGTGCTTTGCAGGACAGATGTCGTAAGAAGGCAGTGGGTGTGTGAGCTCAGGGAGTGGTCAGGCCAGGTCTCAGTGTTGACCTGAGGAGTCATCTAGGGACTGAGGGGGGGAGGGAGGTATGGCAAGGGAAAATGTAGGCTGGCCTAGCAAGAAAGGTAGGTGGTCACTTCAATAAGGACAACGGTATAGCGTAGCAGTGAGCAGGCTGGGGAGGTGGCTCAGTCTATAAGTGTGCCCTGCAAAACCTTGAAGGCCTAAATTCCACACCTGAAACCCAGATTAAAAAAAAACTCATAGCTAGGCACAGCCCTGCAGAGTCTCTCTTTCCTCCTGGGACACCAGACTTTTTCTCCTGGTCCCCTCTCAGAGCCTGGATCACGTTTCCCATTGCTCAGCCCTAGGTTTTTGTGTCCACGTTTTGTTTTCTTAAGGTCATTCCTAAGATAGCTGACCCAGACGGATGGGGCAAGTCAAGGTACAGGCAATTCAGTCAGACTCAGGTAACTTGTCCCAGGTACACTGTCACTGCCTGTACCCCTCGCTCCCCCAGGGACAGGCACACTGTCACAGGCTGTACCCCCTCACACCCTCAGGGATGTTCCTAGCACTGAGACCCTGACATGGAGTCTCCTGTTCCCACAGCAGAACACACAGACAGCCAGGCACACAAGCACATGCTGAAGCTCTCTCTCTCTCTCTCTCTCTCTCTCTCTCTCACACACACACACACACACACACACACACACACAACCCACATAATCACACATATAAACACTGTCAGAAACACAGTACTTCTCCCCTACATGGACATATACCAGGAGATCCCCACTTATCCACTAGGCTGTTATATATAATCTTGTACCTTCCCAAAAGCACAGTATAAGAGGCAGGATATCAAGGCACAGACACACACACATGCACACACACATACACACACACACAAGCACAGGCACACAAACTGTTGGACATGTGATTACATGCTAATACGTTGCTGCATACATGGTGACATCCATCCAGACTGTGACACAAAGGGTCCCAAACAAACACGAAAAGAAACAGGGCCTCATATACCTTGGATACCTAGCTCCAAATCTATCTCATATGCATCACTGTGTAACACACACACACACACACACACACACACACACACACACACAGGAATTTGCTGAAGGACAGGTGAACCAGACACTGGAAGACAGGATGTTGTGGTTTCTTGGCTGCTCCTGGACAGCCCTATGCTGGGTCTGTGTCTGGGAGGAAGCCCAGCTAGGGACAAAGTCTACCCAGACCAAGCCGGAACCTCAGCCTCCCTTGCCCTTTGCTGGAGTACAGAGGCCAGGGGCTTTCAACAATCCTGCACCAGGCTGTACTCTGCAACCAGGGGATGCACCAGGTTCCAAAGGACACTTCTCCCAGAGGCTTCAAGCTGCCGTTTCAGAAATGGGTCCCTCCATCCCTCCATGTCAGACCCTATGATCCCTGTTTTACCGTTAGGGAAACTGGGGTTTAGGATGATCGAGGGTTCTGCTGAAGAGTTCGAACTAGGATCAGACCTGACCTCAGAACCCAGTTCCACCTGGTTGGAACGTCAAGTGTCAAATGCCTGCCTAGCTTCTCAGTAGCCTGGCTCCTTCATGGAGGGTCTGTGGGTAGAAAGGAACGGAGAGAGGGGAGTGGTCCTTGCCAGAAAGCACGCTGAAGCAGCCTAGGTCACATTTGGCGCAAGTTAGTTCAGCCATCCCTTTATCCTTCAGGGAAGCAACTTCGGCCCTCATGAGTCCTGCCCCTTCAGCCTTCATGCCTGCCACCCCCCAGGAGGAAGGCATGAGCCAAGAGCTGGGGTCCCACTCTCTTTGTTTCCCCATTTCTAAGCTGCTGAACCACATCACCTAGGGAATCTGGTTCCTAAGCATTCACCCCACCATGAGTGACACGAAGGTGATCTCTCAGACAGAAAGTAAAACACAAAATTTACTCTTGAGTCTTTCCAGTGTCCATGGGGTTGTGCTGTAATTACTGCAATCTAACCTTAAAGCTGCCACACACACACACACACACACACACACACACACACACACACCTCTGCGGCGGCCGGAGATGTTAGTACCCCCCATAACAAAGGGCACCCCATCAAAAGCTCTAGTGTGTCTCTTCAGTGCCTGCGGTTCTGCTGTTAAGAACCAGGGCTGGAGTAAGGTTTGAGATGCTTGACATCAGGGAAGGAGGTTTGGGGGGAGAAGACAGGAAGGCCTCAAGCTTGGCTGTATCCCCTCACTCTCAGGCTAATCTGCAAATATGGCCTGCAGCAGCCTGGGACCAGGAGGCTCACATCCCCACTTTCCTGCCTCACAAGAGGGAACTGAGCAGCGAATCTGCAGTCGTGGCTCTGGAAAGATCCCAATGTCACCAGGAAAGCCATGGCCTGCAGGGGAACAGTGAGGTAGTGCCAGGGACTGGGAAGGTATCTCCTGGGGCCAGTTGGCCCTGGAGAACAGGGATAGGATTAATCTGGGAGAGGATTTGAGAGCTAAAACAGCGTTAGCACCTTCCTTGGGAGGCGCCTCTGTCCACATCTCCAGGGGTGAGGTTTGACCCCTCCTATTTCAGACTAAGCTCAACCCTACGCAAGCCCACTCCCCAAAGGTTTTAGTCCTTTAGGTCTGGCTGTGGACACAGGAGAAGATGTGTAAAGTAGTCGCTTCTATAGGAACACTGCCCAGGCTTGGACCTCTTCTACCCAAGGGTATCCTGGCACATTTGAACAACTACCTTCGGCATAAGCAGCTGACCATCATGGCCAGGGCAAGAGCCAGGGGCAGGAGTCACAAGCAGGACAGAGAGAGAGTCAGAGAAGAGCCCACAGAGTCCAGCCGTAACCTAGTCTTTGGAGACACCAAGAAGGTAGGACATTCCTGTGTGTCCCAGTATGCTTTCTGGTGGGTTATTAATCTCAGGGGGTCGAGGATGGGTTTTAATTAGCTGAGTATGTGAGAGGGCCTGGCTGATCTAGAAGGAACAGAGAACCTGCTGCATGTTTGCTGCAGAGAGGCTGGGGTGGGGGGTGGCAAGCCAGTGCCACCTGGTAGGTCATCAGGAAGGACAAGCTGCAGGGTCCCTGGGGCTATGAGTCAAAGACTATGACGAGGGTCCAATGATTGGGGGAGGAAGCTGGGTTTCTACGACCAGGCCCCTTCAGTTCTCTAGAGCTTCCTGGGCACCCAATACACAAGGGAGCCCAGGACGCGAGTGCAGGGGACGGCACCGCAGGGGTCCCGGGTACGGAGGGAAGGCAGAGGGCCTGTGGGTTTGGGAAAGGAGTTGGGAAAGTGATAGAGGATAAAGAGTCGCAGAAGTCAGCACAGGGCAACCCCGGGGCAGCTGGTGTCCTGGCAGAGCAGCTGGAGCCGAGAAGTAGGGCCGCCCTTCAGAATGAGGGTAGTCATCCGGTGTCCAATCCCCACCCGGACTCCTCAACTCCTCAGTCTCTTTCTCCCCTGAGCCTTGTACTTCCCCTGTCTAGGGTCCTGGAGTTTCCGCTCAAGTCCAGGAGCCCCTCCGCTACCTCCTGCGCCCGCAGAACACCGCAGCGTCCCCCTCCCATTTGTCGCCGGGGTCCCCGGGGCTCACCTGTGGGCGGGGGCCGGCCCTGCCCACCGCCCCGAGCAGCAGGAGCGCCAGGCGCAGCAGGCTGGGGGTGCGGGCCATGGCGGGGCGCTCAGGACTGGGTCATAGCTGCCACCTGCGGAACCGCGCGCCGCGACTGATCCCTGCCGGGCTCCGGGGGGGAGGAGCTGGCGTGGGGCCGCCCCGCCCGCCCGCAGGAGGGATCGGGCGGGGTCCCTGTCCTCTTCCGCCTGGGTTTCAGGAGGCCGGGGGGCCAGGCGGGCCGCCAGCGTCCCGGACCTGGAGATGCTCGGCGCTGCGCTCCCCGCCGGCGCCTCTCAGGTTTAGGAGCCGCAGGAGCGGAGCCTCCAGCTCTGAGCGCCCGTGGTGCGTGCGCCTGGCCAGCTCGCTGCGACCATTGGGGCCCGCCTCCCGCCCCCGCACCCCGATCTCCTCCAGGCTCCCCCTCAACTAAGGAAAGCCACATCCCCACCGAGTCAGTGCTTCCAAAAGGAAACTGAGGCCAGGAAAGGTGTAGGATTGGTACAAGGTCATAGTGTTGGTCAGACTTCTGGAAAGTATCCCACACGCTGCTAGTCCTAGGGAAGAAAGATCCGTCTAGCTGGGGGCCACCGACTTCTCCAATCCTTTCCCTAACCCAAGCTCAGCTTCTGGCCCTGCAAGGCTGTCAAAGTAGTAAGGACCGGGACAGGAGATCCCAGGAGAGTCCTCAGGGTCCTTTCTATCTGGAAACTTTAGAAATTGCAGGGTGGGGAGGGTTGAGGCTGGAGATCTGCTTTTCTAGAACATTCCAAATGTTCCCTGTCCGCCCCTTGCACTCCCTGGGCCTGCTACAGTGTAGGTGTGATCATGTGCGCCCTGACTAGCATTCCCTGTATGCACTTCAGTCTGTCTTCCTACACTACACCTTTGCCCTTGCCTACAGTACAGGTAGGGAGAGCTCCAGACGCCTACCTCTTCTGCGAGTTAGTAAGTGGAACAGGCAAGCAGAGGGGTACCACTAACGTCTTGAGGAAGGCAAGAAGACGCTCCTCCCCACAAACTAGTGTAAGGAAAGTTGGGTGTGGCTCTACTCAGCCCTGGACCTGCCAAGGGCTAGTATGGACCTAGAAGGGAAGGGACATTGGGTGTATAGCTGCTTCTCTTGGAGATTACAGAACTTCTCAAAGTCCTGCGGGAAGTGGGACTGTACATCCAGGGCTCAGTCCCATGGAGGGAGACAGCCAAGAGAGGTGCGGGGGCGGGGTCCACTCAGAAAGAGATGCTCCCTTCTGGTAAGCTCTACCTTTGACTCCTGAGTCCCTTGTTCTCGCCCCACCTAGAGGTCAAACAGGTTCCCTCTGCATGCCACATAGGACTTGGGCTGTTTAGCTGTCAGTAACAGAAAATTGCATCCAAAAAAACCCGATATAACTAGGGCTTTTACGTAAAGCAAAGCTGGAGGTTCAGCCCAGGTTGGAGTGAGCAGTCATTCTTGGATCATCAAGGTCTCCAAATCTTTTAGCTTCCCTGGTACCAGCATCTACCTAAACGACCCGAAGTGGCTTCCTTTAGAACCAATCAGGACATCAAAAGTCCAGCCACAGGAAAGGACCAGCCGCTGATTACCCACAGGGACTTGTCCTGAAGATCGCAATCATCAGTTCCCTACCTATTCATCGGAATTTAGTCACATGATCACCCCTAGTTCCAAGAGAGGTCAGAAAAGGTACTTTTTATTTTGGGCTGTCACGGGCACAGTTCAGTAATGTACCTTTTGTTATTCTGCTTTCTAGCGCTAATAACAACACACCACAGATGAGGACTTTGTTCTGTTGTGTTAGACAGGCTCTCTCTATGTAGCCCTGGCTATTCTCGGACTCACTCTGTAGACCAGGCTGGCCTTGAACTCACAGAGATCCACCTGCCTCTGCCTCCTGAGTACTGGAATTAAAGGCATGTGCCACCACTGTCCAGCAAGTGCTGAGTACATTTTGAAGATTTTTTTACTTGGGCTCCTGACTCTGATGTAAAGATAAAGAACTATGCTCGTCGTTGGTAGCATTCTTCATCACAGAATTCTGGAGTGGTGAAGGATATCCTACAGGGACCATCAGGGTGTTCTCAATATACCTAACCACAGTGACTTTGAATATGCGAGCTAATCTTGGTTGTCAACCTGAATAGAATCAACACTCCCCTGAGGGGCTTTCTTGGTCAGATTATTTGAAGTGGAAACCCCCACCCTAAATGTTGGTGGCACCTTCTGGTGGCAGCCTGGCTAAGAAGTATGGCAGAAGGAAGGCTTGGCTTTTTGCCTGCTTATCTTCACTCTTGCTGGCAAGTTCATCTACTCTATTGTTGCTACTTCTGTATTCCTTGACTGATATTAGAATAAAATTCTTTAGGCTTTTAACACAAACAGAAGACCAGAAGCTCTCCAAGAATCCTTCATGCATTTAGGGTAAATGACTAAGGCCATGACTGTTGAGACACCCAGGCTCATGGACTGAACAACTACAAGATTCTCAGCTTCCCTGGTGTGAGTTACCCATGGTCAGGTTGCCCGAACCATGCATGTGACCTAATATAACAAAGCCCTCTCAGCATCACATAATTTAACATTTTAAATTTTATTTTTATTTTATGTATATGTATAGGTGCCTGTATATATATATATGTATGTGCAGTGTGAGTGTGTGTGTGTGTGTGTGTGTGTGTGTGTGTGTGTGCAGTGCCTGTGGAGGCCAGAAGAGGGCGTCAGATCACTTGGAACTCGAGTTATAGGTAGTTGTGAGCTGCCATGTGGGTACTGGGACAGAACGCAGATCCTCTGCAAGAGTAAGAGCAACCAGTGCTCTTAACCACTGACCCATCACTCCAGCCTTCATGTTGCCTTTTAATGTCTAGTCATTCTATAAGTTCTATTCCTCTAGAGAACACTAGGACAGAGAGAAAATCCACATCTGAAGTAATCCACTAACCCATTCCTCCCTAACTGAATGTTATTTCTCTCATTATTGTGACCTGTGATCCTGACAAGAAGCAACTTTAGAAAGGAAGGGTTTATTTGGGTCATCTATTATGGAAATACAATCCATCCCCGGGGGAGGTAGATGGGGAAGGCGTGGTCTCAGGAGCAGCAAGTGCTTGGTTACATTGTATCCCAGTCAGTAGAAAGAACCCTTGGTGTTTTGAATAAGACCGGCCCTCATAGGCTCATCTATTTGAATGTTTAGTCATCAAGGAGTGGCACTACTTCAGAAGGATTAGGAGGTGTGGCCTTGTTAGAGGAAGTATGTCACTGGGGCAGGCTTTGAGGTTTCAAAAGCCCAAGCCAGGCTCAGTGGCTCTCTCTCCCTGCTTTCTCAGGATCTGGATGTAGAACTCTCAGCTCCTTCTCCAGCACTAAGTCATAATGGACTAGCCCTCTGAAACTGCAAGCAAGCCCCAGTTAAAGGCTTTCTTTCTCAAGAGTTACTGTGATCCACAGCCCTTTGAATGGAAAACATTTGGAAGGGGTGCTGCACTCCCTCAGGGGTCTCCGGATTCCCACAGTGGGCTCAATCATGTGCCCAGTGCTGTCTTTATTTTCTTTCTTGGTTCATTTTCTACAAGTGTGGGTTGGGGGCAAGAGTTTCTTGGGGGCTCACTTCTCAAATTAAAATAAAGCATTTAAGCTCTTGTACACGGGGTGTTAATATATCTGGGTATGTACGGGCAGGGTGCCTGGTTTCTCCTTTAACATCTGAGGACCCAGAAGTTTCCCTGTGTGCTGTGATGCTACCTCTCGTCTCAGCATGCATCATCCTAGGACTTAGCAGCATCACCTTCTCTCTGGGAAGGTGGAGTCCAGATGCAAAATTTTAGCACAGCGTACTTCTGTCCCTAACGTGGTTCCTTCCAGTTCTCTGGATAGTGGGTGAGACTGGATCCTCTGTACTTGGGCAGCCATGGCTATTTCCCATAAGAGCACATGGAGCATCTGGGAGGACTCTTCTCTGTAGCTCCTGAGGCGTCAGGTCCCTTGCTCATTAGCAATCTGCCTGTTGTGGTTAATCTTGTCAATGTGACTGGCTTCAGAATCACCTAGAAATAATCTCACATGTCCGTGAGGATGTTTCCAGAGAGGTAGTATTATAAAGATTTGTGTGTGTGTGTGTGTGTTCATGCACCTGCTAGAGCAAGAGTTACAGGTAGGTGTGAGCTGTCTGTCTTGGGTGCTGGGAATGGACTCCTGTCCTCTGGAAGAGCAAGCCAGTGCTCTTAAACACCGAGATATTTCTCTGGCCCCTTCCAGAGCATCTCACCAAGATGACAAGACTCACTTTGGATGTGGGTGGGACCGGTCCATGAGCAAAGTCTCCCCTTACTTGAAGAAGACAGAATGAGCTGGGCATCCTCTCTCTCTCTCCCCTCCCCACCCCCCACCCCACCTGCTTCCTGAGTCCACCTCAATGAATCGGAGCCTCACACTGCAAGCTAGAATAAACCCTTCAGTCCTGAAGGTGCTTTTTACCAAAGATTTTGTCATATCCGTGAGAAAAGCTCCAGGCGCATGCTGGCCTTCCCTCTGCATCCAGGGTCCTGGAGGATTAACACTCTCAAGCCCTCATCTGATTTGTCCCCGAGGCCATTCATGCACTGATGCTCCATCCATTTCCCCATAGCTTGGGAGCAAGCCCTCCAAGCTCATTAGCTCCAGGGAGGCAGCTGGAACCTGCCCCGCCTCCCTCTCCCCTGCTATCTCTTCCGCTTCCTCTGGTCACTCTCCTGCAAACGTGATCCCTTCTGAAGTTTCTCTATTCTTATCTCCAACCTGAGCTCCTGACCAGGCCTCCATTCCTAGCTCAGACAGTCCCCTTCCCAGGAATCCGTTCTTCACCCCTGCCCCTCACTCTTCACCCCTGCCCCTCACTCTTCACCCCGTTCTCTCACTCTTCACCCCGACCTCATTCTTCATCCCTGTTCTCTCACTCTTCACCCCTGCCTCTCACTCTTCACCCCTGTTCCCTCACTCTTTACCCCTGCCCCTCACTCTTCACTCCTGCCCCTCACTCTTCACCCTTGCCCCTCACTCTTCTCTCCTGCCCCTCACTCTTCACC